GGTTCTAAACGGCACTGTAGATTTGTAGAACCTCTTCTATAGAAGAGGTTAGAACTGGCAGGAACCCACCCCTGGTGTGAATGGCAATATAATAAATGAGCGGTGTAGTTCTAGATAGGATAGTTGTCTTGTTCTTTGAAATCAAACATTTAAATCACTTGATTTAAAGCAGATGATGACATCCAGATGCAGCTAAAAGTGCTTCTCACAGACCAGCTTTTAGGCCATCCCAAGTTCTCCCTCCTCTTATGTGAGTGCAGCAATAAAAGAAAGCCCTCAACTGGCATTTACCTTTCCAGACCTCCCCAAACTCATGAAGTCAACGTTTGGCCTGAATTCATCGGATGGGACGTCTCCCCTGTTAGTGACGGACTCAGTGTAGGGAGCCTCAGTGGGAGCGTCAGTGACGGTTTCATGAGACTCATCGGATTCAGATGAATCATCTGAATCATCTGAATGATCGTCGTCTTTGGAAACATCACTATGATCATCATCATCTTCATGACTTTTGCTGGAAGAGGCCAAAAGAGTCTGCAAGAAAACCAATGCAACTAGGTTATGCCACGTGAACAAGGAAACACCTTGGGAAGATGCTACACAAACTCAAGAAATTGAAATCGGGCAGCTAGTTTTCAGGGCCAAACACCAGGAAGAGAACCTTGGAAACTTGAGGGTAATATCCCAGAGCAAATGCAGAATGTCTTTTGTGCACTAGTTGGCAGCAAAAAGAATCCGATGACTATAGCTATAGAAGTGGCGCAGTGGTTAGAATGCAGTACTGCAGGCAGTTCGAATCTCACCAGGCTCAAGGTTGACTCAGCCTTCCATCCTTCTGAGGCCGGTAAAATGAGGACTCATATAGTTGGGGCAATAGGCTGATTCCGCAAACCACTTAGAAAGGATTGTGAGGGCTCTCTTAAAGCACTGTGAAGCGGTATATAACTCTTAAGTGCTATTGTTATTGCTATACTCTCAAGTATTTTAAATTTTAGATAAATGATATAATCTAAAGGCGCACGGTGGCTCATTTGATTAGGATGCTTGGCTGATAAGCAGTAAGCCCACGTTTGAGACCCGACTACTGCCATGGGGCAGGGTGAGCTCCCATCCTTCACTCCAGCTCCTGCTGGGGCATGAAAGGGGCCCCTGGGCGATGGTGATGTCATTGGCTAATCCTTTCAACCTGAAAGCACCTTGGTGCTTCCGACATGAGTGTGGTGCGATTTACAGGCTTCCTAAAGGATCTCTATTTGGATTTCTTAAAACTACCCAGAAGCTACAGCTGGTACAAAATTCAATATGCAGGCTCCTAGTTGGTATGCAAAATTGTCTGAAGGGATATTTGAATCCTTTAATAGTTTAGGAGATGTGTGTGTGTGTGTGTGTGTGTGTGTGTGTGTGTGTGTGTGTGTGTATGAATGTATGTATATCAGAGGTGGGTTCCTACCAGTTCGCACCTATTCGGTAGAACCGGTTCGTCAAATCTACCGAACCGGTTAGAAGAGGTTCCACCAGTGGATCCGGAAAGCAGGCCACACCTACAGAAGAGGTTCCAAACTTTTTTGAAACCCACCACTGGTCCTTGGATATGATTATTCTACACTATCATGCTCCTATTTATAAAACTCAGTGCCTCTGTGAAAGGGAAGGAGGACTACTGCGTTTGTGGTGCAATCAGAACATTGCGTGTGTTGAAGTTGTTTTAACGCAAACCAAAGATGCCTTTTTAAAAAACAACTTTACATCATATTCTTATGCATGCCAGTGCTGTGTGTGAGGTAATTTAAGGTGGTTCTGACAAGTGTCGTCGGCATCTTCATATCTGGTCACATGGGCGGCAAGCCACTCCCATCCAGTCACATGGGCAGCAAGCCACTCCCATAAAGGAGGCCACACCCACAGAGTAGGTTAGAACAGTGTTTTTCAACCTTGTCAACTTGAAGATGTCTGGACTTCAACTCCCAGAATTCCCCAGCCAGCATTCGCTGGCTGGGGAATTCTGGGAGTTGAAGTCCAGACATCTTCAAGTTGACAAGGTTGAAAAACACTGGGTTAGAACAATTTTTGAAACCCACCACTGATGTATATGTATATATGCAGTATATATCTCCTAAACTATTAAAATTTGGATTTTGAAACCAAAACCAATGCACAATATACATAAACGTGACTTATTATGAATCTGTTTGCCGGTTACACTCAGGCGTTACTTTTTTACAATGCAAATGAAATCTATGGGACTTTTTTCTGCACAACTATCAAAGGTGAATTACTCCTGTCTCCTTTACCACCCGATCCAAAGGAGGCTGCAAATACAGTCAAGTTGGTTTGTCACAATAGGATGATCAAAGCTTGGCCTGATTTGTTTGCATATAAATACCAGTTGTGGTTACCATTTTGACTGTTTTGACCAAACCCTGCAGATACCACCAATGAGAGGTCAGCAGTGGTGAGATTCAAATAATTTAACAACCAGGTCTCTGTTCTAGTGACCAGCTGGGTAGGCGTGGCTCAGTGGTCATGTGACTGGGTGGGCGTCGCCAACTCAACGTCACTCATATCGATGATAGCTGTTACAATATAATAAGGGTTAACCGGAGAGGCAGTTTCTGTAAGCAGGGCAATAAAGATTAGACTAGAAACAACACCAGAATGTTTCCTTCCTGCCTTCCTTACAGGATTAGCCCTGTAAAGTGGAAAGAATCAAAATGAGATTTCTTCCAACAACCGGTTCTCCAAACTGCTTAGAAAGTTACCAACCGGTTCTCCCGGATAGGTGTGAACCGGCTGAATCCCACCACTGGAGGTCAGCAATTATTGGGAAGAATGGCTGATGCATGTTGAGTTAAACTGACCTGTTGCTCAGTGATCTCATCCCGGTCTTCCGAAGACTGAGAGTTCTGAAAATGAAATAAAAGCCTTATAAAAACGAGCAGTGGATTTGGAACAAAGATAACATAAAAGGAAACCAGCCCAATTAAAGCTTATGGAATTCATTACTACAGGTAGTCCTGGACTTATCAGTTCATTTAGTGACCATTTGAAGTTGCAACAGCACTGGGGAAAAAAAAAACACACTTGACCATTTTTCACACTTACGACCGTTGCAGCATCTCCATGGTCACATGATAAAAATTCAGATGCTTAGCAACGGACTCATATTTATGACGGTTGCAGTGTCCCAGGGTCCTGTGATCCCCTTTTATGACCACCTGGCAAGCAAAGTCAACGGGGAAGCCAGATTCACTTAACAACTGTGCTACTAACTTAACAACGGCAACGATTCACTTAACAATTGTGGCAAGAAAGGTCATAAAACGGGGCAGGATTCACTTAACAGCTGTCTTGCTCATTAACAGAAAATTTGGGCTCAGTTGTGGTCGTAAGTCGAGGACTGCCTGGGTATATATCTGGAGAAGAGATCAGTTCATGAACAGTAGGTATATTAACAACCATGAATCATGGTTAATGATTAGGTTTAGTAGCAATATAATTCTGACCACAGGGGGGCGGAGAAACGGAGAAAAGAAGGGTATTCTGGTAAAGCTCAGCTGGTGGTAACCAGTGGAGATGCTGAATCATTTGGATCCAGTTGAGGCTTTCCTGGGATTCTTTTTTATTCAGGGAATAATAGGATTTAGGGCCTGGATTGAGTGGAATGGAAATGTTTGGTGGACTGGCCTAAAGGTGGAGCTCCCGCCTCACAATCACTGTGAGTTCGATCCTAGGTAGAGGCAGATATTTCTCTCTTTGGGCACAATGAGAATATATCTGCTGAACAAAACTCCGCATTGGTGACACGAAAGGCATCCGGCCATTAAACACTCTGCTAGCTCCATTCAGTTGCCCAGACTCCACCCCGCAAGGCAGGGGTGGGTTCCGGCTTCTTTTACTGCTGGTTTGCTCAGGCAAGTGCTTCAGGCATGCATGCACTTCGGGCGCATGCACAGAAGTAAAAGAATTGCTTCTGCGCATGCATAGAAGCAAAAAACAAGATGGCGGCACCTACGCCGCTGTTGATAGAACCGGTTCGGGCGCATGTCCAGCCGAGCTACTACCTACTCGGCCGAACCGGTCAGAACCAGTAGGAACCCACCTCTGCCACAAGGGATTATGGGGTTGTTAAAGATGATGATTGGATGGAATGGAAATAGGGCTGGTGGGAGGTATGGAGAATGATGGACAGGGAAACAAGTTAAATAGAATAACGGGTAAAATATCTTGCGCTAAATCTCATCAGACCTAGTTTGACCATGACTGACAAGTAATTTGTGTCCCATTTTCGCTTGCTGTTCCCACTACAATATTTCTTTTTACGATGTTGCTTTTCTGGGGGAGGGAGGGAGGGAGGGAGGGGCTTTTCTCACTTTAGAGCTTTCCAAGTTATTGGACTTGCAACTCCATAATCCCCAGATCTCAAACCATGCCATCTGGGTTTATAGGCACATCCAGAAGCTGCCAGGTTGAGGAAAGCTCCTAACAGTTTGCAGAGAAGATGAGTTGCTTACCAGTTGAGAAGACTCTTGACTATGGTGTTCTGGTGACTCTTGGCTGTGCTCATGGCTGTGTGAATGGTGGTGATGATGGTGGTGTGCGTGAGCTTCATTTTCTTTGGAGTCCTACAACAATACAAAAACATTAGAATTTAGCATGCCACATCTCAACGCTTGGTCACCATTAAAGGGCAACAACCGAAGGCTCGGTACAAGAATCCCTACAACAGAGAGGAAATAGATAGGAGGATCTAATTGCCATGCTATCTAACTTCATTCTCCTAAAACGTTTGGGGGAAAAATATTAAAATCAGTGTTAAGAATAATTAGAAAAGAGGTCTAAAATAATGCAGAAAGTGCCTATTAGCAAGTGAAATGAACACTATTTTGTAGTGAATTCAGGTAGTGTAGGTTATAGCTTTTTTTTAAAAAAAATATTTTGGAAAGATACAAAAAGAACAGCCTTAGTAACCAAGAAATAAACACCTTGAAGTTTGGGGAAAGGATTACAGGAGTGTAAAAAGGGAGAGTTTTTTAAAAAAAAAAGTTTGGGAGAAGTGTGGCCCAAATAAATGCATTTAATAAAAGAATTCCAATCCTTTTAGCGGTAGGACCGTTTTTTTAAAAAAAGTGAAAGGTATTGTCAATTGTCTTACTCAATGAAATTGATGCCTAGAGGATTAGATCTGAAAAGTGTGTGTGTTTACACACAGATGTAAACCGGAAACAATTGAGGATAGTGTATTGTTTCTCCCCTAGCTATGCGCACTCAGGCTTAATTCTAGTAAGTAGAAAATGCGAAGAAGGAAATTCCAAACGACTGTAAAATATTAAGATTTGAAGCAAGAGAATGCTCCAATTCTTGACTGCTTTTTATTGTTAGAATTTACTAAGTGTGTCTTAAAAACCCCATATTTTTAAACTTTTAGATAAGAAACATAGGCAATCTGGATCCACTCCTACTAAATGAGGTTCAATAAAGATCGCAACAAAAGTAATTCCCCGCACACATGCAATGCACACTTACATGTTTACTTTCTGCACTCATAGAATTGTCATGATCTCTCGATTGGCTGATCTTTAAGAAGAAGAGAAAAAAAATAGACAGCATTGATTCCTTTTTGCTTCACGAAGGAAGTCCTGATTGACTTGGTAAATGCATAGCATACTTACTGGTAAGGCAAAGGCAACGGTGAAAAGACACAAGGTAAGTACCGCAATTTTCATGATGACGGATCCTTGTGGAATAGTTTGCAAATGCTTGGTAAGATTCCTGTTCCAAAACAACAATAACAATTCATTTGCCCTGTGTTTTACAAACTGTCTAAATATATGTAAACAGTAACTCCAGACTGAAGGTCTCATTGGATTGATCAGAAATTCACCAATGAACTGGCTAGTCTGCAATGTTGATAAAGCTTTTCTAGATGGTACCTTCTTAAACCAATAATAATAATAATAATAATAGTCCACCTTAAAAGTTGTGGACTGTCACTGCCTTCTAGTTCTCCATATATTTATCACTCTCTTTAATCCCTTCCAGAACACCTCACCTAGCTGAGATTTGAAGAAGCAGAAACAAAAAGGATGAAAACGGAGAGAGGAAAGGTTCCCCTGATTCCATCATATTATAGGTCTGTGAAAGTTTGCGACCTGATTTATGAAACCCACCAAGCCATAAGCTGATGTGCTTGCTTTTCATTTAACGTGAAGTGGGAACTCACTCCTTCTGCCATTATTTTATGTGCAAAGTAGTACCACTGCAGCTGGTTCAACCAACCATGGTTTGAAACATTTTGGCAAAGCATATATTACAACTGAGTGCAGATTAGCTTGATGGAAATGCATGCATTTCCACAACATTCCATAAATGCAACAACCCAGGTATTTTGGATAATGTTATTGCTTTAGAACACAAAAAGATAGAAAAAAATAGAAACCAACAAATATAGTAATACAGTACATATAGAAAAAAGGCTCTGTTTCAAAACATAGTATTACATTTTGGGCACACAGAATAAAATAATATTGGTTAGTCTTTTCATTGAATTGCTAAATAGTACGTTCATGAGCATCTCTGCTTCGGAAAAACTATCACATAGGAATAAATAATCTCTTATTTCCAGCATAAACATTCTGTGAAAAATCCAACACATGCGAAAGAAGTATATTTTCCTTTAATAATATCTTAAGATTGTAAGAAACATACTAAATGTTTTTAAATGATGCTTGGGTATTTATTTGTTAATGTGGGATGTAGCAACTTGCTAATAACCAACATTCAGTTCAAGAATTCTATTATCTGTGCATAAAAGGAGAACAATTTGAAGCACATTTCAATGCTGATCATAGTTCAGGAGTTTTAGATGTTGCTACTGCAGTAGGAGGATGCAATCTCTTGGGAAGAAGGAGGAAAAGCGAGAGTATATTATGAAATAATTCAAAGGCAGATATTTGAAAACTTAATGGAAATACTGGGAAAGAAGGTTGCAACAAATTGGTATTTCTTCTGCCTCTGGTTGCCTGACATATGCATATGAATAGAAATTTAATTCAAGCATAATAGTAATGCTTTAGCAGCAATACCATCCATTTGAATGGGTCCTTTATTCTAAAGCATTTTGAAAAGATTTCCGAGTCAGATAGGATTACACTGTAATGGGTAACACTTTGGAAAAAAAGATGATGAATCAGGACTCAAGGGACAGATGAGAAATTGATGAATCATGGTGGATGGAAGACGGTATCAAGAGCCAGGCTGATGGGGGAGCTGGCATCCTTCCTTATGCATTGCCCTTCCTCTTACAAGGTTAATGAGCACTTGTGCTAAAAGCAAAAATCAATGTGAAAACACTGCACCAAATTATATCTGAGTAATACTCCTAAAAAGCCTGGCGGAGGATGGAGAGCCAATGATTTTTATGGAGATTAAATGCAACACTTTTAGCCAGAAATACTTTGCTAAATAAATAGGTGCTGTATAAAACATAGAGGCTAGCAAGAATTTGAACCCTTCTGGGATGGAGCTGTGAGGGTTTAACTTGCATCCGGATTCATCGGTCCTCTGATATCCGGATATATAAGAAAATATTCTTGAACACTTATACACTGCATGATTTCCCCTAGATTACTAAATTATCTTAATATGATGGCTATTTTTGCCTTTTAACAGCAGAGCAGGAAGCAAAGTATGCGGCTGCTGGAGATTTCTGTGTCCAGATGCTACTGTTTAATAAATAGGACCCCTGATTAAAAACAGCAGTTGATAATCCTTGTTATCCAAATCACGATAAACTTATGGCTTGTCTTTCTCTTCCAACTCACTTCAGTGCCTTCCCATGTTACTTCTAACAACAGCCTTGCGAGGTAGAGGAAGGGCGAGACCCACCCAAGGAAGGAGCGTTTGCCAACATCCCAACTATGATGCAATCTGTTCTACTCATAACTCCCCCCCCCACCACTTCTGTAATTTAGCACTAGAGACAGCAGAATGCAGACCATAAGCCATTTTGAGCCAAAAAACATGAAGCAGTTTGATCCCCCCCCTCCAACTCTTAAGAAAGAGCCATTTGTATTTTTGTTTTCGTCCCTGTATCTTTAAATCTGCTTCCAGATGCTATGCAAACAGCACTATTTCAGGCAAAATGCCCCCCCACCTCAGTGTAAACGGTCTCTAGCATACCTAACCCCTTAAATGAATTGCAGCACAGCCTTGAAAGTAACAGGTAAGAAAGACAGACAATTCGGTACCTGGATTGATGCTCAGATCCTCAGGCAGCAAATCTGCAGCTGTGTTAGTGAAGCTCAAAGCAATGCTGAAGTCACTTCGGTCTAGTTCCACTCACTCTCCTCTCTCTTCTGTTTCCCATCTGCAGACCTCTGAATTTAAACTGTAGTCCAGATACCAGCCCACCAATCTGCGCCAAGCGGAAAAGATGAGGTCATGAGTTTCCTGGTTTCAGTCCTCCCACCATTCTGCTACATTTCCTCTCCGGGTTTTTTTTTTTTTTTGTGGCTTTCCAAGCAAACAAGGAGCTATTCCATAGTTAAAACATTACTTATGTAAAGTCTGATTAACTAGTGTTTTAGATCAACTCCCTGCACTCTGCCTGGAGGGAGTGGGATTTAATAAGCAGGGGACTTATTAGCATTTATGGGGAGAACTACATTAAACTGCATCTTTTTTTAAAATAAAGGTATAGGCAGCTTCTGCTAGGAATGGTAAGACTATAAATAACCCCCGGAAAGTATAAATCTTGGGGTGGCTTGGAATTCCATTTGCATGAAAACAAGATACGTCTTAGAGCCCTTTATGTTTTGGCATTTGGATGAAGAGAAAAACATCTTTTTAAATCTCTTATTCTAGTAGCAAGGTTTGCAATGCCTCTGGCATGTCAAATATTACTCACAAGTCCATCTGAACCCAACTCGGAAACCCACAACTCTCGTTCACACTGGCTGAGTTTGCACATTATACCAAGCCACAAATCATGGTTTGCAAGCCACAAGAGCAAAGCCAACTAACGGGAACATTTAACCAAAGAACTTTGTTGTTTGGTATGGCTTCATTCTTTCTTAGTGTTAGATCCTTTCAAGCAGTGCATCCCAGAAACAAAGATTCACAAAAATGATAAAGAATAAATGATAAGATACTAAGATACAGTGCTAAATTTTGGAAATGGAATAAGCCCAAACTTTAGCACCCATTTATTAGTGAGTTCATTAAGGCAGGGTTTCAAGAACTATTTGAACTATTTTTCAATGCCAGATTGAAGCTTACTCCCCCCCTCCCAAATAGGAGTAACCTTGAGCTTTGTTTTTCCTCATCATTAATAATGTTTTGAGATGTTTTTTTTTCTTCCCCAGAGATCTTTCTTAAAATCAGCCTAGATCCTGTATGTATGATATCTAGAGGAAATTGATTGGCCCTGGAGAGCTGTATTTGAAAACAACAGGACAGAATGCTTTTTATCTCTGACAGATTATTCACATAATATCCTTAACCTGATTATTGATTATTTTCTTTTTTTTTATTTTTTTATTTTTTAAATTTTATTTTATTTTATCAATTTCATATATACATTCACAATTATATGATCTCATAACTGTTATTAATA